CAGGAGAGCATGCTTCCTACACATATCAGTGAAGAATTAGGTCACGCGAGATACACTAATCTATACAAATCCATAATTTATAATGGGACTGTCAAATCAAGAGACTTGATGTGTTAATGCTATGGAGATATCTTTCATAAGTGTCGCTGATCGGCTGTGATGGCCGCAGGTTCAGCTCTGGATCAGGTGGGTCAACTGGTGGCTGTGATGTCCCTCTTTGCAGATCTGAATCTTCTTTTCCACCATTGCTACAAGGAGAGCTTGTCACCATTCCTTACCCTTCTGTGGCAAGACACGCGTCCAACCGGTAGCGCAATCGCTACAACAGGCTTACTAGAGGTTTAAAACCCCAGCTCTTCCCAAAAATCAAGCTACTTCCTTTGGATCACTACATATATTAAATGTGTCCCCAAAGGTCATTTAGGCCTGTTCTCTAGTGGTGAGAATCTTGTGCTACCTTGAGACGAGTCTTTTAAACTACTGAGACGCTGAAATTATTCTAAAACTGAGGCTGGCGCAACTACAAGTAGTCCTTACCCCCGTTTTGCTTAGTGACCGTTTGCAACGACACTGAAAAAGTGACATGACCGTTTTTCAGTGTTATAACTATTGCAACATCCCCATGGTCACGTGATCTAAATTCAGACGCTTGGCAACCGACTCATATTTCTGACGCGTGGTGTCCTGGGGTCACGTGATCCCTTTTTATGACGGTCTAACAAGCAGGGAAGCCAGATTCGTTTAACAGCCGTGTTACTTAACCACGACGTTGATTCATTTAACAACCTGGGCAAGCAAGAAAGGTCGCAAAATGGAACCTAACTCACTTAACAATTGAGATTGCGCTTAGTGACAGGGATGTTCCCTCGTGGCCGGTAAGTTGAAGACTACCGATGCCGAGTTTCGTTGGCTTTGACTCCACGGTGGAAACAATGGCTTGCAACAAACCACAAAGCCGTAGGGGCCAGTGTTTTAAATCAATGTAGCTGTGGATTTATAGAAGCATATTTTACATTTTACATTTAGCGGCTGGGAGGGCTTCCTTTCCTTTATTTCTGAGTTGAGCACAGAAACATGTCGCCGGCTACTAGCATCAATATTGTAAAGATTCAAAGTATATAGTATGTTCTACAAGGACAAAGCAGTAAAAGCTATTTATTATTATATAACCCTGATAATAAAGAGCTATTGAGACAAGAAACTCTGCCGTGCATTTGTTGCAAAATATGGACCTTAGGGGCTTTCTCTTACAAACTTCTCATAAGACAGGGATATGTTAAGAGACAATCATACCAAGATAGCCTCTGTAGGGGTGCACCTCTCGTTTTTGGGCCAGAAGGCAGACGCTTATATGTTATACCATCGATCATTGCAAGGCGCAAAATCTGAATGCAAATATTATTGGAATATTTACACTCTTAGAACTTGTTTAGCTTGACTAAAACAGCTGCAATGCCAGCATCAATTTTGGAAAACCGATTCAAGAAACTATCACACTACTTGGGACTCTATCTAATTGTCCGTGATTGAAGGAAGGAAGGCATGCCGTGTTAACAGTTTTCACTGACTTTTTTTTCTGACACGGGATCCAAGTTTTAGATTTAGGTCCTTAAGGGCAAACAAACTGCTCTGATAGCCAGACTATGTAATCTTACTGGCAGTGATAAACTTTGTCCTGTTAGCCTGGGCTAAATTATTAGAGTCCCAATATATTAACAAATTAAATAGGATTAAAGTATTGTGGATACATACATACATACATACATACATACATACATACATTGTATGTATGTATGTATATATATTAGGAAATCAGGAAAATATTCGATACCATTGTGAGAAAGGAAGGAGAGATAACATTCAACACGAACTTTGTTATTACAACGTAACTGTCAACTTGACTTATTATGAGAGTTTGTTATATTTTAGTCAGTTACGTTGAGACTTGTCAAAATAAAGTCGTTTTTAATGAACCAAAGAGTATATTATTATTTTTTAACGTATTTATTTCCATGCTGTCCCTAATGAAAAGCAAATGGAAATTAGGACAGAGCTACAAGCAAAAATCTTGTCAAATATTCTCTCACAGGAATTACCTCCAGAGAGGGAAGATTTACATAAATTGGATTATCTTTCCTCTTTTTAATCCATAATTTATTAATATAGGTGGGTGCGGCTAGCTATTTACAAACTAGGTTAGAGCATCTTCCATCAGATCCCTATGTAGTATTTATTCAAACAAGTTGATCTTGCAGATTGACAACAGCTCTGCACAACTCACAACACTGCACAATAGATCGCACTGAGTATGTTATAACTGCTGAACTAGACCGTTTCTGTGGAAAACATTGCAGAACAATATGACTTGAAAGTTTATTTATTCACTCACAGCGGTGGACTCCTCTATAAGGATTGTGACAAATAGTTTTAAAAAACTCCCCTTGGCTTTAAAATTTGTCATATGTCAGTCGGATCTGTTCTTTTAAAAATATATCAAGAACACCCATAGATGCTAAAGCAGTTATTCTGATCCAGGCCAAATTTTTGACAGGTCTTGACACGCTATACTGGTTTTGGAGTATCTGTTGCAACTAAACCACGTTCTTTCGTCGTATATATTTATCACACAAACAAAATATAGGCCCAGGAACAAAAACCCATTTTGTTGCAGTCAGTATGATGCAGATAAAATGGACAAGGTGGTCCGGATTAAATTTGAATCGATTCTCAAGTGAAACTAAAGGCCACGTTTGAACAAGGTGAGCTGTAGTAAGTCAATTCAGTTTACTGTCTGGTTCACTAAGAAAGCTGAAAGTAAGAAAGTGTGGTTTAATTGGGGAACCATAGCTTGGGGAACAGTTGAGAAGTCAAACTTGCAATCTTGATGAGGGGGGCCATAAGCCCTGTCTCTTAATTTGAATGACATGTAAACAGGATGTCAAGCTAATATTAGTGACCGTGAAACTGAAGCCCTGTCTCCTTGGTATAGGTAGCCCTTGAAATGTTCATTTAGTGTCAGTTGAAAGTTACAACAGCACTAAAAAAAAAAGTGACTTACGATCGTTTTGCACATGACCGTTGCAGCATCCCCAGGGCCACGTGATCAAAATTCAGAGGTTTTGGAACTGACTCGCATTTACGACAGTTGCGGTGTCCCTGGGTCATGTGATCACTTTGGGGGACTTTCTTACAAGCCAAGATTGTAAGAGCCAGAGCTTAACAACCAATTTCACAACTGCAGCGATTCTCTTTACAACGGTGGCAAGAAAGACTATAAAATGGGGCAAAATTCATTTAACAACTCTCGTTTGCAACAGAGAGTTGTGCTCATGAGTCAAGGACTACCTGTACACAGATCAACATCACATGTATGTAGAAAGGGACGTGGCTTATTGATCACGCGGTCACATCTTTGTTTTTCTGGCCCTTCCCAGAGATGTACCCAATTTTCTGCTTCTAATTACATCAGGAGCAAAAGACTCTAAAATGAGCATAACTGCCTGTTTGTTTTTCCTCGTTTGAGGCTGTTAGCATTCTTCTCCATTTGAGATAAATCCTGTTGGGAAAATAAGGCTTCCCAATCAGGAGGAAAGCATTGTGTTAACACTGATTTAGAATAAGAGTGTGCAATTTCTTAGAGCAAAAAGGTACTTCAGAGAATGCAGATACAATAATGCAACTCTCTGTAGTTTTTCCTGAAATCTTGCTCATCATGGTATAAAGCAGCCATACACTCCAGGGTGAAATAAAAAAAAGCTGCTTGAAAGAAACGCAGACAATGGCTACATGAATGCCTTGAGGTAATTTGAATAAAACAACATACTATTTAAACATTATTTACATGGGAGAAAATGTCTGCCTGGCAATGCATCCCAATTACATTGCCGTTTTTTTTTTTTTTGCAGGCCAGAAATATTTTGAAGGAAAACCAAAAGGGGAAGCAATGCGCTAAAACTTTTTTAAAACCCCAAATTCTGGCCCTTGATACTTACGATCTTCCCCAGGACACGGCAAGCCGGGTTGTTCGGGAATGCTTGGGAAGACTGCATCAAAACATAAAATACGCATCATAAATATATATATATTTCCTAAAGAGCAGTCTTTCTTAGCTACTCAGTCTTTGGAATAAATCGCCAGTGACAGACTACTCCCTCAGTCACAAAACTGGGACTCTAAAAATATGACAGCCCTTTGCAGACTTCGTTGAAGGCACCCCAGTTACTGAAATCAAAGTCAGGCTAAGCAACATACACAAAAGAGATATTGGCAGTATGAATAAAGCTCAAAAAAAAGAAGAAAGGATGCGCCAGGAGTGCTCTTATACAAGAAGCATAAATTCAAGAGAAGAAATACAAAAAGATTCAGGTGAACTTGCAAATCAGAACAATGCACTTAAGAGGAAGAAGCTGCAGAAGGTAAATTCCTATTTGTGTGTGTGTGTGTGTGTGTGTGTGTGTGGAGGTTGAACAAACAGCTTATAATTATAACCACGTCTCATTTATTTTATCATTTAAGACATTTACACACCAATCCTGCTTGATCAAACTGTGGCTCCTAAGATCAAGATGCAAAGTTGTGAGACAAGAAAAGAGCAATGAAACATGCCAGTGACAATTAACAAGCGTCTAAAGCCCGTAAAAGAGTAATTTGATTAAAACAGGCAAGGAACTCTTAAGGGCCTCCCCCCAAAGTGACAATCTTCACCTCAAAGAGGTTTTAATAGCAAGAACGGTCCTCTTGGGAAAATGTTCCACAGCTCAAACAGAGAAAAGAAATTTCACCAATGGCTTGGATACCAAAGAAACAACAAAGCAGATCTTCTGGTTATTTGTTGCGGTAGGTAGACAGGATTGTGTTATAAGTGTAAAGTGGGTAAGGATCAGATCTTATAGTTCGGCATCGATCCAAAGAAGAGGCCGGTCGATGACCCAAGGCATTTTGAGTTGGCTTGAGAAAGAAGACAGAGCGGAAGAACAAAAGCAGGATTTCTGATCTGAGAAGATATCATTCGAAATGTTTGCTAAACTACGAGTCTCAAAACTTGCCATGAATAATAAGCCCTTCATCTCTGTACCGACAATACAAACGGAATGCTTCTTCCAGCTCCATCTGGGATGAAATGGTACAGGGATCACCTGTTTTAAAAAAAGAAAAAATAATAATGTCATTTAGGGAAGCAACTCATGTACGCAACTCTCTCATTTAAAATAGGTTTTTTTTCCCCTGATTTTCGAACAGTGCAACTTTGGAGATCATGGGAATTCATTTATACATTTCAGAACAGGGGGGAAGGGACACTTAGTGGCTGAAAAACAATTGTTCTGGGACCCAGAGACCCTTCCCTTCATAAATGTGAGTGTAGCTCTGTCTCGTAGTAGTTACTCACTGGAAGGGCTATGGGAAAATGATAAGCCTTTGTTTCATCCTGGCATGAAAATGAAACACTAAAAATCAGGATAGTAGAGAGTAGAACTGGCTATTCACTCCATCAATCACCATTTTTTCCCTTCTAATTAGCAGAGCAAACATTTAAAAGGATGGCAATCATTCTGCAGGATCATTTAGTGTGTTATTATGTCTTCCTTAGTTGGCAAACACCCTTTTCGGGAAGCAAATTCTCAACAGACAATTGATGGATCCTGTCGGTGTTTACACAGAAAAGGTCACGGAATTTAATGTCACTTATTCTGAGAAAAGCATGAAGTGAGGTCCCCAAAGGATAGTGTGAAACAACTCAAGTTGGAAAGCACCAGAATTTGAATATACCAGTCCCTCTATATTATTGTTTATGCTGATTGAAGAACAAGCTATCTATGCTTCAAGGAAACAATTGCTTCTCTCTTTGATTATTTTTAAGAAGTTTTAAGAAGGCTCCTTGATGCTTTCAAGTTTTAAGTGAGGATCTCCAAGGTTTGTGGTACCCACAAATTGATACGAAGAGTGAAGGGTCTTGGGGGGGGGGTCCTACTGCCCCAATTCCAGCCAGCCAGGCCTTCTCATCTTGAAACAGCTGGAAATTTTCAGGTAGTCCTCGACTTACGACAACTGTTGTAAGTTGAGGATCACCTGTGTATAGAAGAAGCCAAATTCTTCCTTTCTCTCTCTAGCTGGTACAATTAAGCAAAGGCTGCAGACATTAAGCAGAGCCATTCTTTGTTAAGGCACCATTTTCCTGAACACCAAAGTTAACTTTCAATTTTCAGCAAAACCATCATAAGATGCAGTCAATTCATGACGTAATCTCTAAAGGGAAATTATGGCTAGTTTGAATATCTGAGGCTATTAATTCAAAATAAAGTGAGATATAATATGCCCCTAATGACTTCAGTTTTTTATTTCTCTAATCTGAAGCTGCCAATTGAGTGACAGTTCCAAAAAAGCTTTCGAAATAAAAAGTTATCCATTTAATATCTCTTTTTTTGGTGGGGTAATTAACTGGACCATAAAGCGCTTTAGGAAAAAAAAAAATTTTTTCCCCCAAAACCACGGTTACAAAAGCCTAAAATACCTTCATTATCAATCCACTTCAGGGTAATTGGTTGTTCCTGTGATAAATTGCACATTTCTCTCACTTCATCACAAAGTTCATCATAGTTCATTGAGGCACCCAAGTGGGTGATAAGGATGTCTCTGAAAGAGATTAATTCACAAATTAAGTAAAATACGTGCTTAGAGTGCCTGGTGTTTTGTAAAGGCAGATTAGCTTAGTCAGGATCCTTGGCAACTTCAAGAAATTGGAAATATGCTTTGAAACTATGCAACATCTGTGCACACGTAAATAAATATGAGTAAATAAATATGTGGCTTTCAAAAAGAAACGATCCCGCAGAACGTAATTGGGTAGCTGTACCGAATAAATGTACTGAACCCACGAAAAGATTTGAGAGCAAGATACGTGCATTTTTCTGATGCCCTTACAGACAGTCCTCGACTTCATTTAGTTCATTTAGAGACGGTTTGAAGTTACAACGGCACTGAAAAAAGTGACTTATGACCGTTTTTCACCCTTATAATCGCTGCAGCATTCCTAAGGTCGCTTGATTAAAACTAGGATGCTTGGCAACGGATTCAAACTTATGACCATAGCACCAGAACTTTGTAGCCACTTTTGCACTTTGTGCAAAAAGGACAGGTAGACAATTTTTCAACTTATGGAAGTGAAGAACGGTTAAATAAGATTTGAAATGTTGCAGGAGATGGAAGACTTCCTACTCAGGAGAACTGTCCTTTATTCAAAATGTCAGCATGAAGCACAGTCCTGGGAAATTTCAATGAAAATACATTCCTCAACAGATTTCATTCCTGAAGGAAGATTATGTTACCGCAACCTGTATTTTAGCCATTCAGGATGAACACTTATACCACTTTAAGTAATGAATTGGTCACACCCAAAGTGTACAAATATCCATCTTTTAAGCATTCAGGGAGGCACATTAGCAAACATGAATAGTACAACTTCCTCATAGCTTGCAAGACTTCAATTTAGTCATACTATCAAAGGTGTTCTGTACCCGAAATAGACATCGTAAATAATTTAACACCTTCCCGAATAATTCTTGACGCTAATTTTGTGTCTTGATGCCGGCACCTTCACAATGCGCGACACGTCAGATCATATAAAAATAGAAATCCTTTGCATGGTGGCAAGCTTTGGTAAAATTATTTATACCACCCTGTAGGTGTGATCAATAAACCCAGACTGAGTAATTAAAGAATTCTACATTGTGTCAGTTTAAACCCCTCCCCACTGACGGTGATGGGAAACAGAGCATGTGGTGCTGGCTACGTTTTTTCACCAAATCCATTTTACAATATGTGAAAATAAAAGAAGGTCTGAAATGAAGCTAAGGGGACCAGAATTTCCGTCGCTATGCAAGGCAGGTTGTTAAGCGAGTCACACTCAATTTTATGACCTTTTTTGACCTGGGTTAAGTGTTAGGGACGTCAACAACAACTCATTTCGTTCAGACGGAAGGGGGTAACTAAAGTAAACACCCTTTGGTCGACCTTTCCAGTGTTTGGCAGTAGTGCACGGGACCTTAAGACGTTGACATGATTCATGTACGGTCAACGGTTCGTAGACTTAAAACTAGTACACTGGTACCTCTACGACACTACTAGTATTCACGTTCCTTGGGCTGTAAGTCACTTTTTTCAGTAATTCCTAAAGGTCTCTAAATGAATCGTTGTAAGTCGAGGACTACGTGTACGGCTTGAAGGACATGAGTGAAGAATACAGTGCGTAAACACCCTTGATGTAACTTACCCATTATAATGAGTTTTTACTCTAATGAAGTCTTTCTTCGTGTTCATTTTTGATCCCATTCTGCTAGGCATGATACTATGCAACATTCAAAACAATGTCCTTGTTTTATAGACTGGTCTTCCAAATCATTCAGAGAATGACGAGGGGTTGCAATAAATGAACAGGCAACATTTTTATGCTTCTTCCCAGGAAAAACTTCATTAGACTGCATGCACACAAAAGTATAGACAAAAAGAAAAAAGAAAAAAAACACAAGTGAATGGAAAACATAATAAATATTGAATTAAACCTAAAAAAAACATGCGCAGTCAAACAAATCAGCTATGTAGTTTATGTTCCTTTTCTTGCTAAAATAAAGTTTTATACTGTTGCTTAAGATTACCCCATAAGAAGAAAAAACAACTTTGTAGCGTTAGGCACCATTATATGTAAATTGTATACATTCTAGAATAGATGTTGCCTCTGCTAAAGCAAACCAGGTAACATTTTGGCCAATAACATTAGTTATCCCTGTTTGAAAACTGAATGATTTTTTTAAGCAAACAAATCTGGCTTGATTCCAAACCGTTTCCTTTCCAAGCACAAAAACTACAAAACGTGTGATATAATCTGTTCAAAGGGAATTTTTCTTAAGTAGTTCACAACCAAAGATAAAAAGAAAAAGTTCGGACAGCCTCTAACTTCAGCCATCCTGTAATTTAGAGGTGGGGAACTATGGCCCCCTTTAGGGCCTGTGGACTTCAACTCCCAGAATTCCAGATCTAGCATGGCTGGCTCAGGAATTCTGGGAGTTGAAGTCCACAGGCCGTAAAAGGGCCATCGTTCCCCACCCCTGCTGTAACTTCTGGGCTGCCAGACAGACCTGCATTCCTCACATACCACCAGTGCCCTCTTCACATTATAATTTAAGACAAGGTGAAACACACCCTTTTCACCTTCCACTCACAGTGCCCCACCCGCTTATCACACATGCTCACCTTCTGAAGAAGACTTCCTGTTCCTTCAGCACCAAGTTTACCTCCTGGCTGAATATCCCATCACTATAATTTAGCCCAATTAAATTTAATTAGAATTCTTGCATCTCCTTTTTTTACTATCCTGGCACCCATTCTTTTGTTTACTTAGTTGTATTGCTCACGGTGGGACAAAAACTCCTCTCTTGCAAAAACCCCTTTATACTGTATTAAATAACATCAGCTTACCCCTTTCCTCTCTTTGATCGAACTACTTTTGATTCATACAATAGGTATGACCAACCCCAGGGAGCCTGACGAAAGCAGAATCTCAGATTGAAGTTCACATTCAGCCAGGGAAGCCCACTGTTATTGTGGGAGAAAATGGCAGGAGGGACCGCCATCTAAGCCAGTGGTGGTGAACCTATGGCACGCGTGCCAGAGGCGGCACTCAGAGCCCTCTCTGTGGGCACGCGCGCCATGCCCCGGAGATAGCAACAGTCCCTTTTCAACCAGCCTCCCGCTAACTCGCCAAGGTCCCATGTGGCCAGATGCATCCCAGCACCCATGCGCTCACTGGCCTCTGTGTGCGGGGGCCGATAGTGTCAGGCAGTAGCCGCCCTGGCCCCTGCCTTGCCTTGCCCTGCGACAATGGCACCCCTGCCCTGCCTCGCCTTGCCTCACCCCACAGATGAGCCTCCTTCCCACCGCCCCATGGGACGGGGGTGTACGTAGGGAGGGGTGCTCGTTGTAACTCCACTAGTACGGGTGGAACCGGTGTGGATGGGTCAGACGGTACTGGTGGGTGTCAGTGCGGGTGGGTCACCCGGTGTGCCACCTGGCACACAGTGACAAATAAGTGGGTTTTGGGTTGCAGTTTGGGCACTCGGTCTCTAAAAGGTTCGCCATCACTGATCTAAGCCAAAGCTGGGACACAAATCAAATATCTCAATTTTTCTTCCCTTCTACTCCTTTCTAGCAAAGTAGACCTAATAAATATTTTCCACTGACATTATCAGTCCCTCACAAAAGGGATCTATCTTACCTCCAGCAGATAAGAAGCAATTACAACACACTATTATGTATAACAGTGATAAAACTCTCCTCTCTCAAGCTTATTCCTTGACACTTTGTGTGTGTGTGTGTGTGTGTCTACTGCAGGGATATTGGTGGGTCTTTCTTATGACACATTTCCTCCAACCCCGCTTGGTACAAAGGTTTGATTGTGGCTGGTGGATTGCAAGGTGTTGTGACAAAGGAAAGCAATGCAGGAAGTATCAACAACTCACATTTATGCCTTTCACTGTGGAACACTTAATTATATGAATTATTAATATAATCTAACAGTAAACTGCTCCAATAAACATATAAATGGCTGTATGTTAATAAAGTTCATACACACAAAAGTAATAGTATATACAATATTAACATTCATCATAAATGGCATATGCATGGCAGTATAATTATTGTGTATCATAGGCTTTCCATCACCTTAACACCCCTCTATTTAAATGCAGAATCATATAGTAATTCACATGCAATTTGCTTTTCCACACAACAGTATGGAAATAATTTGATGCCCTTTTCTGGGACATTTGCCTAAAGCCCTGGCATTTCCAGGTGGTCTCCCATCCCACTAGTAACTGGCTCCAAATTTTAGCTTTTTGAGATTAGACCAGGCGAGCTAGATTCTAACATCTGCTGTGGAGAGTACTGAATGATTCTGTTTATATTGTGAGAGGTTTGTGTGTATACACTGTAACACAATACATTTATGTACACTTTGTTGCCAATATTTGCTATTGTTGCTGTTCCTACGCTCCTTGGACTCCAGTAAGACTGAAGGAGTTTATATATAATAGAGTGTTTGATGATAACAACAAAAAGCAAAATAACACCCACAACGTTTGTATCCTTTCCACCAGTTCTCTGCCACACTAATCTAAGCTACAGAATATGATCTAATTATATACAATACATATTTACCCACAATATAAACAATAATCACTGCAATTTATATACCACTACAGAGATGAAGTAAAAATAGACTCCAAGCAGCTTATGAAGTAACCGAAATAAAATTAAAAACAAATCAATACTTAATTTACAGAGAGAATTCTAATTGTAGCTGTAATAGAGACTACATTCTCTCTTATCCTATGTTGGCTCTGTCCCATCTGAACTTCTCCTAAATGTCAAATTCATCTATATTCAGCTAAGAATATGATCTAGTTAGATATGTGGAGAGAGAGAGAGAGAATACTATGAATATTAGTAGTAAGGGAAAGGCTTTCTCCTAAACTTCTCTGCGGACTCTTAACAACACAATGTTGTTGTGACTGCTGTTGTTAGGGGTTTTGAGTCAATCCTGACTCCTGGAGATGACATGCACGTCGCTCCCTTGCAAACATTTTTCGGAAGTGGCTTGCCAATATCTTCCTTCTCCCAGAGGTGGAAGAAAAAAAAAAGAGCCACTATCCAGAAATTGCCCTGTTGGCTTTGGGTCTGAGGCAGGATCAGAACTCACCTCGTTCAGCTTGGAATCCAGCTCCTTCCCGCCAACCGGCTCTTAAGACGATAAAACAATCGGTCCTATTTGGAGAGAAAGATTAATATTAATTAATTAATAATAATAAAAAATAATATTAATAAAATAATAATAGCCCGGCCAGCCCTGTCTTTGGAGTCCCCACTACTTTTAGCTTCCTGCCTTGGATAATGGGGGAGGGGGATGCTTGGGAGTATCTTTTCTGCTTGCCCTCCCCCCTCTCACCCTCATTTCCCCCCCCCCTTTATTCCCGGCTTCACCTGTTTGCCCCCTTTCCCTCCCTCCACTCCTCTCCCCACCAGCCTCCTAGTGCCCCCCCCCGCAAAAAAAACTCACCTGTTTTGGGCGGGGTCTCTCCTTCTTACAGGTATGGTCACCCCCCTCAGTTGATGAGGTGACGGGGGGGGGGTCGGTCGCCTCTCCACACTTCCCGCACTTCCCGCCTGGCTCCGGGAAAGGCTCGCGCTCCGCGGAAGTTTGCCTCCAACTTCCCGGAGGAGGAGACAAGAGGGAAGGGCTCAAAAGTCGTCCTTCGCGTCCGCCCCTTCCTGACAGGATTATTATTATTATTATTAGGATTATTAGTATTATTATTTCGTTTCGCTTCGGGGTTTTGTTTTTTTTTTTTCTTCTCCCTTGAGGAAGAGGAAGAGGAGGCGCGCTCCCGAGTGCGCGGGCAGGTAGTGACGGCGCGCTCCCGCCGCCTCGCTCACCCCCTCAGCGACCCCCCCCCTCCTCCCAGCTGCCGTCCGCGCAGCCGCTCTCCGGCCTCCCAACATGGCGGTCCCGCCTCACCGCGGGACGCGTCCCTCTCAGCCCCGGCTGCCTCCGCCCTCTCCGCGCGCGCGCCGGCCTCCCAGCCAATGGCTTGCTTTCTAGCTCCCGCCTCTCCGCACCTGCCGGCCTATAGGAAGCCAGGGCCGGGCTGGCCCTTCACCTGAAGCCATCGCCCTCCCCTCGGATTGGCTTAGCCAATCAGAGCTCGTCAAGACGTCCTTACCTGGCGACGATGGGCGGAGCGCAACGCGAGAAAGGGGAGGAGGAGACTCACCTGTCCACCAATAGGGATCGCGAAGAGGGCTGGTTCGCCTAGCAACCAGGCGAAGAGGGGCTGAGGTGAAAAGAAGCGCGGGCGAAGAGTCGAAGTCCGACTCGCCAGGTTGGCGGAAGCAGCTTTTACGTGACGCTTCTGCCTCAAAATTATGTATTAAGCCTCTTTTAAGAAGTATGGAGTTTATAAAAGGTCTTCAAACTTGGCCCTTTTATGACTTGTGGACTTCAACTCCCAGAATCCCTCAGCCAGCCAGGGGAGGGAAGAGGAAAAAAAGAAATATGCAGGTAGTCCTCGACTTATGACCACGATTGAACCCAGCATTTCCATTGCTAAGCAAAAGGCAGTTGTTAAGTGAGTTTCGCCCCGTTTGATGACCTTTCTTGTCACAGTTGTTAAGTGAATCACTGCAGTTGTTAAGGTTGTTAAGTGAATCGGGCTGCCCCCATTGACGTTGCTTGTCAGAAGGTCACAAAAGGGGATCACGTGACCTCAGGACTCTGTGCCCGTCGTAAATATGAATCGGTTTCTAAGTGTCTGAATTTTGATCACGTGGGGATGCTGCCACCGTCGTAGGTGTGAAAAACGCTTATAAGTCAGTGCTTTTTTAACTTTAAATGGTCACTAAACAAATTGTAAATCGAGGACA